TTGTGATCCTCAGCATCCCAGTGACAAAACTTGGATGGCACACTTGAGATTGAAACATGCCTTTGAAAAGTTCATTGAATCTAAAAAGAATCTAGGAGTTTCTTAGAACCAAATTAAATATTTTTTAATATTTCGACTTTGGTGGAAATTGGTGAATCATCATTCACCTACCTTTCGAATATGTTATTACTTAGATTACGACATACCTCTTCAAAGTATAATATATTATGATTGGGTCCTAGCCTTAATACTACATTTGGGTGTTTTATTAAGGACTATCTCTATTTCTAAACTAAACTTTTCTTCTTTTCAGATGTCTGCAAACACTGCTGCTTCTGGCTCTAATCCTAATGGCTCCTTTTCTCTTATGAACTTGTGTGGGAAAGTCACTTTTGATGGATCCAACTTAATGAATGGATCAGAAACATCCGAATGATTACCCGCTACGAGGACAAAGAATATTTCCTCGATAAGGAGCTTAAGGAGATTGATGAGACAGTTGCTACTCCTCAAGAGATCGCTGACTTTAGGGCACATGAAAGGGATGCCACCAAGGTGGCATGCATCATGATGGCCACTATGACAGCCGATCTCCAAAAGTCCTACGAGGACTACTACCCTTTTAAAATGCACCAAGATTTGATGGAAAGATATCATCAAAGTGCACGACAAGAGAGGTATGAAATCATCTCCTCCATGATAACAACCCGAATGAAGGATGGAGAACCCATCACGGGCCACATGCAGAAAATGCAACGATTTATGGACCGCTTGCTGAAGCTTAATGTGAACTTACCTGAGGAGCTAGCAATAAATATTATTTTGCACTCGTTACCTTCAAGTTATGATCAATTCCGCATGACATACCACATGAACAAGGAAGAGGTCACTCTCAGCAAACTTCAAGGACTCTTAAAGACCACGGAAAGTGGTCTTAAGGGTAAGGTGGTTGTTACTACTCCTACTCCTACCAACTCCGCCCCTATCTTGGGAATCGGGAAAGGATGAGGGAAGAAGAGAAAGAGTTCTTCAAAGGGTACCAAGGTTAGGACCCTTGATGGCTCTTCTTCAAGTGGAACCAAGAAAGGTTTGATCACTCCTTCTTTTGACCCAAAGGAGGCTAAATGCTTCTATTGCCATGAAAAGGCACATTAGAAGCGGAACTGCCCAAAGTACCAGCAAGATGTGAAGGATGGGAAAGTTAAACCCAACCATGCAGGTATTTACACTATCTTATCTAATAACCCACCCTATTCTAACTCATGGGTCCTTGATACCGATTGTGGTATTCATATCTGTTTTGATTTGCAGGGACTAAGAAGAAGTGAGAATGTGGAGCAAGGAAGAATAAACTTGATCATGGGAAACAGGAAAGCTTCACCTATCACCAAGATTGGAGTTTATACTTTATCGCTAAGTAGTGGGTTTAGTTTAGATTTGAATAAATGTTGTTATTCGCCAAAAATGGAAAGAAATATTATTTCCCTTCATGCATTGTATAAACAAGGTTTCACCTTTTCATTTGATAATGAAGTTGGTTCGATTAATGCTTTCTTTAATAATGTTCTTTATTTTAAAGCAGTACCTTGTGATGGCGTGTATGAAACTGTATATGTGGTTGATAACTTATGAAATAATGTATTATGTGTTGATTCTGTTAATAATAATAACTTAGATAAAGCATCACTATGGCATTGTCGTCTTGGACATATAAGCAAGAAACGCATAGGCCAACTCCAAAAGGATGGAGTCTTGGAGTCATTTGACCTAAAGTCTGATGATAGTTGCGAATCATGCTTACTTGGAAAAATGACAAAGTCACCCTTCACAGGTTCTTGTGAAAAGGGTGAAGGTTTGTTGGATCTTGTGCACACGGATGTGTGTGGACCATTCAAACATGCCACAAGGGATGCTAATCGTTATTATTTGACTTTTACTGATGATTACAGTAGATATGGATATGTCTACTTAATCAAGCATAAGTCAGAGACTTTCGAAAGGTTTAAGGAATTTAAACAGGAAGTCGAGAATCAATTGGGCAGGAACATTAAGATGCTTCGATCCGATCGAGGTGGTGAGTATCTTAGTTCAGAGTTCCTCAACTATCTTAGGGAATGTGGGATTGTCTCACAATTGACACCTCCCAGGACACCACAGTTGAATGGTGTGGCTGAGAGGCATAATCGAACCTTGTTGGATATGGTTCGTTCTGTGATGAGTCGAGCTTCGATACCAATGTCATTATGGGGGTATGCCTTAGAGACTGCCGCCCATATTCTTAATCTAGTACCTACAAAGAAAGTTGCCAAAACTCCTCACGAGATGTGGACTGGTAAAGTACCTAAACTAGACCACATTAAGATTTGGGGCTGCGAGGCTTGTGTGAGGTGCGAGTCTCATGATAAGCTAGAACCCCGAAGCGAGAGGTGTATTTTCATCAGCTACCCACAAAGATCCTTTGGTTAACTCGTCTACATACCTAGTGATAATGTGGTCTTTGTAGCAAGAATAGGAGTCTTTCGAGAGAGAGAATTTATAAGCCAAGGAGACAGTGGGAGGAAAATTGACCTTGAAGAACTTCAAGAGTCAAGCGGTGAAGGAACTTCAAACCCTAGCCCTCATCTTGAGGAGGAAACTCCTGTTGAGCCAATTGATGAGTCTGTACCTCTGAGGCGTTCGACGAGAGTTAGGAATGCACCTGAGCTTTACTGTGGTTTCCATATTACTGCGAAAGGTGAGACACTTATTAGTGATGAGACACTAGTAGGTCTGGATGAACCTAACAGCTACACGGAAGCCATGGCAGGCCCTGAGTCTGCTAAATGGAAAGAGGCTATGGATAGCGAGATACAATCCATGTATGACAATCAAGTTTGGAACTTGGTTGAGAATGTACCAGGTCGTAAGACTGTAGGGTGCAAATGGATCTTCAAGAAGAAGACCGACATGGATGGTAATGTACACACTTATAAGGCTCGACTGGTTGCAAAGGGCTTCTCTCAAATTCCTAGAGTGGATTATGATGAGACTTTTTCTCCAGTAGCCAAGATTAAGTCTATTAGGGTTATGTTAGCCATAGCTGCATTTCATGACTATGAAATTTGGCAAATGGATGTCAAAACCGCTTTCCTTAATGGAAAGTTGACGGAAGATGTTTACATGAGTCAGCCAGTAGGTTTTGCCAGCAACGAGTACCCTAATAGAGTGTGTACGCTTGAGAAATCCATTTATGGATTAAAGCAAGCAACTCGCAGATGGAATCTTTGCTTTGATGAAAAGGTCAAGGAATTTGGCTTTTCTAGGAGTGAAGATGAATCTTGTGTTTATGTCAAGGCTAGTGGGAGTATAGTTAGCTTCTTGGTATTCTATGTGGATGACATACTACTCATAGGAAATGACATCCCAGCTCTGCAGGAAGTTAAGTCCTGGCTTGGGAAGTGTTTCTCTATGAAGGACCTAGGAGAAGCTGCCTATATTCTAGGGATAAGGATTTTGAGAAACCGGAGTAAAAGACTAATTGGACTTAGTTAAAGTGCATACTTGGACAAGGTGTTGAAGAGATTCAGCATGCAGAACTCCAAGAAAGGAGAGTTACCCATCCAGAGTAACGCCAGACTGAGTAAGACACAAAGCCCAAGTACCGAGGCTGAGATAGCAGAAATTAGCCAAGCACCTTATGCTTCAGCAGTAGGCTCGATCATGTATGCTATGACGTGTACTCGACCTGATGTAGCTTTTGCCTTGAGCATGGTTAGCAGGTATCAGGGGAATCCTGGCAAGGCACACTGGACTGCGGTAAAGAATATCCTCAAGTACCTACGGAGGACTAAGGACTGGGTCCTTACCCTCGGTGGGAGTGATGACTTGAGAGTTGTAGGATCTAGTGATGCTAGCTTCCAAACTGATAGGGATAATTTCCGCTCTTAGTCGGGCTGGGTCTTTACCTTAAACGGAGGAGCAATCACTTGGAAGAGTTCCAAGCAGGAGACATTGGTTGATTCCACTTGTGAATCAGAGTATATAGCAGCGAGCGAGGCAGCAAACGAGGCAATATAAAGAACTTCATTGGAGACCTTGGAGTTGTACCAGCTATAAAGGAGCCCATGGAAATTTTCTATGATAGTGAAAGTGATGTTGCCTTAGCCAAGGAACCAAGGGATCACGGGAGATCCAGCCACATCGACAGAAAATATCATTTTATCAGACATCGCATAGAAGAAGGAATCCTCGTGGCAAAGAGGGTATCATCGGATGAGAACCCAGCAGATCCCCTCACGAAGGGACTGAGTAGGGTTAAGCATCTCCAGCATGCTCGGAGCATAGGGCTGAAGGATGATATGAGTGTTAGTAGTTAGATAAATCATGAAATTTGTAAAGTGTAATTGACATTTCACTACTAGAAAAACAGCCTTTTGCGCGCTCATTGCGCGTCGTAAAAGGCTCAGACGACGCGCAAATGTGCGTCAAGGAAGGCCCTGTCATAAAGAGAGACGACGCGTTTTTGCTTGTCGTCTATAGACGACACGCATTTACGACGCTCATTTACGACGCGTAATTACGACGCACGTTTACGACACGCAATGCGTATCAAGGAAAGCCCTGTCATAAAGGAAGACGACACGCATTCACATGTCGTAACCTTACGACGCGCGTGTTAATGACACGCAATGCGTATCAAGAGAGCCCCTGTCAAGAAAGGCCATGTCATAAATGAAGCCAACACACATTTTTGTGTATCATAATTTTAAATGTTTAAAAAAATATTGTTTATAAATTTACTTATTTTCAAATTAAATTTGTATTTAATATTTCATAATAGAAAATAAAATATCATATGCAAAAAATATAATCCATTGCATAAATTTAATTTCATACAAATAATCGTTCCATGGAAAGATAAAACAAATCAATAGAAGTTGTAACAAAGATTTACAAACGAATTAGATACAAAAAATACAATTCATTGCCCCTTTTCTTATTCAAGATCAACCTACAAGTAGCTAACTAATCTGTACAAATTCACCCTTGTTTCTAATCATTTTCTTGAATACTTTACAAACATAATTCATCCATAGTACCTGAACTATAGTTGTAGCTTTGTTTCTTCTTCTTCTGAACTCATCTCTTTCAACCATTGCTCTAAGCCTAGTCTGAATAGATACAATAGCTCCTTGTCAGTTATGTGAAAAATACAACCGGAGAGTGGCCTACCTTCATAATAGCAACAACTAACAAAGCAGGAATGAAAGAGAAGGCAATACTCACAACAATAGCTGCAGTGAATGCATCTAGGTCCTACAAGATCATACAAATCACTATTTAAATACACATTACATATAAAGGTGTCAATATTCTGATTGCATGTACTTAATATATAAAGACTCCAACAATAAATAGATATGTTATGTTACCCTAATATATAAAGACTCCAATTCAAATAGGAATATATGCCCCAGGATTTGCATTTGCATGACTATCAAAAAGAGAATTGGTTTGTAGAGGAAAGGGATGCATGATTAACAGCAACACATAAAGGTTTAGGAGCATAGATATGTCAACCTGTCATGTGTCAACAACCATTAAACCACCTTAACAACCAACAAAACATTTGGATTTGACAAAAAATAAAATGACCAGATCAAATCAAACATGTGGGTATAATTGTGTTATACGGTATAGTTCGTATAGACCGATACTGCATGTTTGCTTGTCTCCAATTTTCTTGAATATCGCAGAAAGTTCTTGCTACCATGCCATGCCAACACAAGAATACAAATATGAATTTATTTAAATCTTTCCTACACAATTGTATTTTCATTTTACTTATCTTACACAATTCTACTATAAGTTTTATTCCTACTTCTACTTTCCCAAACATAGTATTGTACTGAAAAAAAAAATCTTATTAGGGGATGGAACTGACTTTCAATTGGGCATCTTCAGAATGTGTAGCAAGCATTGGATAATTAGCCATGGAATCACCCCAACGAGTTTCACCAACAGGGCCAGCAGGGGTCAACATTCTGGCAGCAGCCAATGTCTAACAATGTTCATAAAACAATTACAACTAATACATAATAAATAAGATGTTGATAATGCATAATATTAAAGAGATAATAGAATAGGTGCATACCTGAAGATTAAGATCGATGTAGGCAAGGATTATGGGTTGGGGTTCCATGTCAATTGGGACCATGGAAAGATGACCATTTATTACTGTCCCACGAAGCTTTACAAGCTCATGAAGAACCGTTTTCACCATCCACAAAGGCTTGTCATCCGCTCCCGCTCTATAATATTAATATTAACAATAAACCCCAATTAAATCAATCTACTTTAGTAATTAATATATCAACATGCTCATTTACTCACTCTCTCTCTCTCTCTCCATCTCTCTCTCTCTCTCTCCATCTCTCTCTCTACCAATAAGGGCAACGTACTTATATCTTTTACACCATAGTAAAAAAATAAATTAAATTCCTATTGTGTGTAAAAGAATGTACTTAAAGGTTGCTTGCTATTATGGGTTTAGTTACAAGTTAGTTGTGATTATGGCTAACAAAATGTAAGTGCATCATTACAGTAGGTAGTCGTAGAAGATAAACTACATTAATGTGTATATTATTGTGTATAAGGAATAAAGTATGTATGTTTGATCAAAATGTAAGTGCATCAATGAGTCGGTTAATCTCAGACTTAAGGTTCATATTTTCATTAGGCAATGCAAGAATTGATCAAATAAGAGCTAGTCTGGGGATATCTGACTCACAGAGAACTCCAATGGTAACTTTTAATTGCAGAATTTTTTTTTTTAAAATATAAACATTGATTCTAAGATTGCTGAATTATAAATTATTATTCTTTGTGTTAAAAAGCCCGGAGAAGCTCTAAAGGACTTCTATAAGCGGACAAACAGTTACTGGCAAATGGCAGCATATGAACATACTGCTCACATCGGAAAGGTTTACTTTCACCACTTTATCGATTTACCTGTAGTGAATAGCCATTAATTACACAATTAATACTTTTTTTCTTTTCAGTAAATCTTCTTTGACTTGTTTTTTTGATTGCAGGAACTCCGGAAGGATGGTTTTGATCTTGCTGAAACTCGGTTCAAGGAGCTTAAGCCAATTCTTGTGCACAAACTGCTCAATGGATAGTAAAGAAATAACTCAATGAGTTGACCATAATAACAACTAACAACCAATGATACTTTATATCTAATCAATCAAAGTAGGACCATAATTGTTAAGACAAATTAACATGTTGTTTATGAAATAGCTAGAAGATTGGTATGTATACCTCTAAAAAATCTCCACAATAAATAATATGAACTTTTGAAGCTTCTCTTTTCCATGTTTTCTTACCAGTTCACTCACAAAGTCCATTGTTGCGGTCCTAGGACTGTATAGGTCTTCAATAATATCTGCAGAAAATTATGGGAAGTATGGTTGATATATATATATATATATATATATATATATATATATATATATATATATATATATATATATATATATATATCATGATGGGTGAACCGATTGAACATATGCAATGTATGGACACAGATGAGTAACAGATGATACAGCTGCATGTTCAGTAAAGATCGCATGTTGTCCAAACATATAACTAAGGGCAAAATTGTCATTCTTAAAATAGACATGAAATATAGCAGACTCATTTGGGAACTTTAACACTTGTATTTTATTCAACCATGTTTACATTTTTGTTAAGTATAAAGCGCATGACTATATTGTAATTGATACAGTAATAAAATATTCAACAGAAAAGCAAAATATCACTGTGATATTTTTGGCAGGGTATTTTAGTGAAGGGGTATTTTAGTACTTTTGACATTATGGTAGGTTTTTTATGTAAGTTGTAGACATGGTTAGTGGGACAACACCTGTGTGAGTTCGGTATTTGGGAGAGGTTCCTCTTCATAATCACAAGGCTGATAGCTCATGGATTCATTCCATTTTCCTGTCATTAATACTTTAGGTTCCTTTGAATTGTATACATATCCATACACTTCATATCATCCAGCACTGCACATGAATTAAAAAACAAAGAAAGTAAATTTATATACAATGTAAAAAAATTGAAGTTTACTTTTGTGTATTTAAAAATCATGCACCCGAACCAACTATGTTCTTCCAAATATTAAATTGATGACTTTTGTTGGAGGGGGTACTGATTCTAGAATTAATCCATCTTTCTTTAGCTTCAAACGAGTTCTGCAATTATAACAACATATATCATCTATATTTTTTATATTTAAAAAAAACATGATAGAGTTAGTTATTTACCTTCCAAGAGGATAGACATCAAAAGAGTTACCAAGATACTTGGTCTTCACCTTTGAAGTTATATCATATTCAAAATGCTCATTTTCAGCATGTGCATCACTTATTGGAGGGTGATGACTCACCTAATATTTTACATTAAAGTATTATCAAATTAATCAACTATTAAAACTATGAAAGATCTTTAAAGTTTTTTTTTATGCTCTGCAATAAATGTAGTGCCACAATGATTAACCATTTCATATGTTTCACCAAGAATTGGATCGAAAGGCTTCCAGGTTTGTTGTAGAGCATAATATACTGATATAAACCATGATGTTGTAATAAAAAAGATTTCATGGTTTTGAAAATTTATATAGAAAGAGGAGTGTATCAGCGTAGTGTGTGTCTATGTGTATAAGGAATTAAGAGTAATGATTCTTACCTGTATATACTAATCGCATGTATGGATCCTCACAATTATCTGCTTGCTCTAAAAGATGGGCGTATTCCATCAACTACAAAAACAATATAAGTCTCTTACTCATTACTAATTTACTATGAACAATTATAAAAGAAGAAGAAGATATAGATTATAGAAACATTTTGGTGTTGGGAAATACCTCTGCCATTTTCTGTAGCATTCTCATGGGTTCAAAAATGAGTACTGGTAAAGTCACCATTGATGTGATATAAACACCTACATACTTCTGCATTCACCTCTAGTAACTATCATGCTCCTGTAAAAGCACAAAAGAAAACAATGAATGACGATAATAGAACATAGATGTTATATGTAATAAGTACCCAAAACAGAGCAAAATGATGAGACTGTGAAAGAAACAGATAAGAGAAATAAGTTAGTGTACCTCTCCCTTCCATCTGCCTCTTTTTGCTTCAACTACAACATCATTATTTTTAGTTATGTCTTATTTGTGTAAGATAAACTTACTTGATCGGTTCCAGAGGGGTAGAAGTGAGTGAGTCGAGTCCGATCGAGTTGGAGTAAGGTGGAGGGGAATTGGATTCGCTGATCAGGTGAGGAATGAGGATACTGAATAAGGAATAAGGAAGGTATTGGATCTGAGCAGAGATTATTCAAGAATAAGTTGGTTCTGAAACCTGGATGAGGCTGGTAAATAACATATTTGAATAGCATTAACTGCACACCATAAACTCTCTCTAGCTCCACCGTCGTTGGTGTAAAGGTGAACGAACCCACGAAACCAGCCTCTATTGTGTGTCGATGAGGGTAGAAACTTAATGAACGAACCTGCAAGAAAACACAATTTTGGTGAGAATCAAGAAAGCACCAGATATCATTCTCAAAGCTCTTTTGCCGGCTGCTATTAATTTGAGAGAAGAAGTGGGAGATAGACAATCCATGTTAAAAGCTTACCTGAAGTGGATTTCAAGACTCTTTCTATGCTAAGTTTTGAGATTATCTCTTAATTTTGCTACCGATTAATCGAATTGATCCCTAGTTTTTTGTTCTGCCTGAAAGTGAACTCTTTTGATACGAAATCAGAACCTACCTCCACCTCCGTGTTGGTTGAATCTTCGAATAACCTGAAAACTGATTCACGATCGACTGTGAGAACGTGGGTGAAGGCGGAGGCCCTAGGGCTTCTTGTTGGAGGCGTTGGACGTGGGTGAAGAGGTGGGTGAATAGAGAGAAAGGATAGAGCTTAGGGTGATTTGAAGAGTTGTAGTCGCATGTGTGTAGAGGTGAGCCTCAGCTCGCTGACGAGGTGAGGTGAGACCGAGGTTGCCGATGAGGCTGATCAGGTCGTTGACTAGAAAGCACTCGTGAGGAATGGAAAATCGTTTTGAATTATAGGGTTTGTAAACGTGGGGAGTCGTTGTAGATGGAGTAGGGTAGAGGTGAAGAGGAGTGAGCGGGGTACTTCAAAATTTTGGGGGATTTTCCCCCTTTAGCTATTAATGAAGGATCAGACTCTCGTTCGTACAACACAGAACGAAGCCAACATAAAACCATGTTTCTGGTGGTGGCGGCTGCTAGGTTTTACAGAGAGAAGGAGGGGGAGAAAATGAAGGTCATCAGCAAGTGGAGAGGAATGAATGAGCGGGTCCTCCAAAATTTTTGGGGATTTTTGTCGATCGATCATTTCCCGCCTAAAAGGCGTGTTTCATTAAAAATTTATAAAGCGACATACTTACATGACGCACATTTTATAAAAGGCGCCCTCCGCATTTCCTTTTTTTTTCTTTTCTAACACTAATTTTAGGGCACGCACAAATGCGTGTCTTCTATCCTTCAAATTTTACAAAACTAACACTAATTTTTAGGGCACCCACAAATGTGCGCCCTCTATTGGCGAGTGTCATTGTTTGTGCGTCATTAAAGTCCAGTTTTCTAGTAGTGTTTGATGATGAATAAAAGTTGTGTTTATTTATGAGTAAAGTGTTACTATCTTTTTTCAATCGTTTACTATAATTTCTTTTGCATGTTTTGACTTCCAGAATAATTATGTTTGGTATATCATATTATTCAAACCTCCATAGTCGGTCATATGTTGGAAGTAGGTATGAATCAAGACTGTCATGATTGGTTGCAGAGGTCTAAGGTGTTGGACATGGCTACAACAATCATGAGTGCTCATAAGTTCTGAGCAATGGACACAACCCACGCTGACTGGAATCACTTCATGGAATTTATCTCGAGTGATCGTGAGACGGTAATATCATATAAGTCTTCAGACCTAGAGATGTGATTTGTTACTTATGATTTGGTTATGCATTGATTGTACGAAAACGCATTGGTAACTCGATGTTATAAAACGTGCTTTTGTGTGTAATTCAATGAGTGGTAGAACGAAGATATGAGTCGAAGTTTATATGTTCCTTCTTGGATTAGAAGCTGATATATGGGCCCCTCGATGATTTTGTTTTGACCTATGTACCGGGCCCGTACAGAACTAAGTTGATGTGTTCAATTAAGTTCTTTGTCAAACAAATTGGAAATCGGGAAACAAACTGTTGGACAATAAGTAAGACATTGTTCCATGTATTTGTCCGGCTGATATCTAGAACAGAGGATTATATGATCACTTATCTTAAATGGCGTACCAACATCTTCTCAGTCCCGAGAGACCTTGAAAGAGCTACGATTGCCGATCGGTTCCTGAAGTATTGCAGTTATAGTTATTAGACTTATCTAAGTGGGAGATTGTTGGATAAGGTGTCTAAGTCCATAACTATTTCTGGTTAATACTTGACCCGACCCGGCATGGTCCATTTGGGTTGCATGGCACCATGCAATTGGATAAACTAATTGAGAGAAATAACACATATGGTTTATTAATATATTATAAGTTCTAATATATTAATAATATTATTTAATTAGTTTTGATCAAGAATTAATTTAGAATTAATTAAGTGATCAAAAGAATAACTAATTAAATATATGGGTAGATTATGTAAATCTTCCATATCTTATATAGTGGCCTAAAAGGCTCCATGGATTATCAAGTTGGGTTCCACCCATAAGGTGCTCCATGGATGCTCCATGGAGTTAACCCATGGATTGAGAAATGAAGAGTCATGTTACATTAGGGTTTTACCTAATGCAACACACTATATAAGGACCATGCCTCTCCCCAAAATCGGCTACACTAGAGAAACAAGAGGGCTTGGCCGATTTTGAGTGTGTTAGAGTATTCTCTCAAGTTTATACTTTTCATTTGGTGTTGTGTGAAGCATTTGAAGCATCACACTTGAGGTGCTAGGCTCACAAGGTTTCAAGGAACACTTACAACAACAAGGTATGTAGTTCTATCTATTATTCAAGTTAAACTTGTTCCCCCATGTATGCTAGATAGGATCATAGCCTTGGAAATCAACTTTGCCTGATAATTAGACAAACATAGATCCAAGGTTATTAGGGTTGCATGTACACTTAGGAAGTGTTAGAATGCTCAAAACCCAACAATATCTTGTGGAGCGGATTTCATGTGTACCGTGATTGCTCTGAGTCGTTGTCGGAATCTGTTCAGTGATCTGGGTTGTTACAGGTATAGCTGGTTTCGCCACGTCTTCAGGGATTAGCCATACAGATCCATTGGTATTGCCGGGGGGAAGAGAGAGAGTTGTCGCTAAGGTTTTGGTAGGACTCCGAGATCTGAGGGTGACGTCGCTTTTAAGCGTTTAAAGTCATTGATGTAGTTGGGATACAAGAAGTGTTAGCTGAATTTTAGGAAGTCTGCTGTTTGAGCAGGGTTATTCATGGTGTCTAGCTTTGGTAAGCACCGGTCATTAGCAAGGTGAACATTGGAACGTAATGAGGATTAGGAATCCCTTAATTCTTTTGTGCCAAGTGGACTTAGTTGAATCTAAGTAGGGGAGAACCGTCCAGGTATCAAGGTCTGAAGAAAGGGTGAAAGTGATGCAAGACTATGGGGGAGTCGTAGCATTCACTAATGGCCAATTAGGGTATAGTGTTGTAAGACTGTGGGGGAGTCGTAGCAATCACTAGCAGTAGAGAGTGTTGTAAGACTGTGGGGGGTGTCGTAGCATTCACGAATTCTTTCGAGTGATTTGGACTAGGGCAGGCAAGTTCACAGGGTTGTGGGGGAGCCATAATGTAGTGAGGACCAGGACCAGAGGTGATTGGCCGATCAGTTATCTGGGGGGCGAGCCCGGATGGTTATAGGAATCCAGGTCGGAACCGGTAGAGACTGTTGAGTGGAGGGTCGGGTATTGAGATAAAGGATTGTGTGGATGGATAGTGCATGTCTCAATAGGGTTATGGTTGGGTAGCCCTGATATTGGATCTCGTAAGAACCTCGTAGTTGGACCAGGTGCAAGACTGGAAGTCTCAGGAATCGGCTAAGGGTATTGCTAATCGGTTGAGTAAAGGATGACGAGAAGTCATGGTGCATTATGCAAATGTCTATTCAAGGATCTCTAGGAAGGAGCGGAGTAGCAATTCGGATTTTGTTTCAGTGAGTGGGACGTGACGAAATCTATATGTTAGGGGCATCGAGGGCAGAATTCTAGGGTGGTGAACTGATTGGTTGATGGTAGTTTAAGCCATTGTGATATGCTTCGGGGGTTCTATCCATTGTAGAGCTACAACATGTCGGAATCAGGAAACGGTGGGCCAACGAAGGCCTGGTACGATGTAAGTCTACAACTATTATGGTAGTATTCATCTTTTCTGTTAGATCCAGTAGCAATAGGTTGTCAGCCTATCTTGATCGGATGGATCATTAGGTTGAATGAGATAGGGCAGTTATGGTTAGACGAGGTATCTGTCGGAGATCGCAAGGGACTGCTGAGTGTTTTTTTGGCTCAGCAATCGGTATGTGTGCGGTGTTCCAGAAATTTTGCAGACAGGTTGGGACCAAGGAGGTCCCCGAGTGTTCTCCAGGAAAGCAACCATGTTTCAGCAAGAGGAGTAGGAGCGACTTCAGTGATTTGGGGTCCGTATATGGAATTACTGGTTATTCGGTAGTCGCAGTCGATCGGTGACTTTGTTCTTTAGGAATCCTCAAGGTATTGCGAGTGGGAAGTATTCTATCTAGACTGATTTATCAGTTCGACGATGATTTTTCATGGTCAGACTGTCAGGGAGACAGATCATCTCAAACTTCAGGATTCGGATGACGCTGATGTGATCAGGTTACAAGGAATTTGTTCATCTTCTGGTTCTAGAACCCGACCAGGCTTGGTTTCGGTTGCCTTGGAAAGGCGAAGGTATGCTCGGGGCTATGACCCTGAGGCCGTAGTTATTTGGCATGAGCAAATGGACAGGAATGATTTCGGAGATGAAATCTAATTTAAGTGGGGGAGAGTTGTAACACTTGGTTTTTGAAAGTGTTCGATTATGCCTTTGGAGGCCAAGGGTATAAGCGTAATATGACGATTTGATATTTTATGAGTCTCGGGTTTTATTCGAAATATTATAAGGCTTAGGGTGCATCTAGGAGCGTAGGGCTTCTTGCCACCTTTTCGTGGATATAAAGTTCGATGGAAATGGACTTGGAACGAAGAAGTCATAGTACTTCAAAGTTGTTGGCAGAATTGGTCCCCGAATGGAAAAGCTTGCATTTCAGCTCATGCATGCAAGGTGGCAGCCAGGTGAGTATGCCCAACGTAATCTGCGGTACGCCCAACGTAGTGTTGGTTAATGAATTGCGGGTGCTAAAGATGTACGCCCAACATACGGGGATTACGCCCAACGTACGTCCATGATCTCCAAAACCCTAATTTTTAGGGTTGGCTCACTATTTAAGCACCTTAAGTCCGAAGGGGGTACGCCTCCCTTTCATTCTCAGAGTCTTAAACCCTAAATTCGAGTGGTAGCTTCATCCAAGAGTGTTGTAAGCTTGGTGGGTGCATTTTGGGTGGTTTTTGGTGCATTTCAAGAAGATGGAACTTATTGCAAAGATGGGGATCAATGAGGAGCTTGTGGATCTGGATTTGGGACTCATTCTCAACTTGATGAAGGTATAAAGCTTTGATCTTGATGATTATCTCCTTAGATCTCTTAGATTGAGTTTAGGACCATTTTGGTCCAAATGTAACACATTTCTAATATTGCATAATATTTATTATAGAAAACAAAACATGTACAACATTAAAAGAAACCGATGACTAAATTCTCCTTTAACAATCTACTTTGACAATTTCACCTCTAAGAGAATAAAGTGAATGTAGGAACCTTGAGAGGTTGTAGGGCATGGAAGTAGGTTGCTAGAGCTGTGAGAACCTGCACATGGAAAATCGGTAACTTAACATGTAATACAATAAAAGATGATATAATAGAGAAAAGAGAAAAGTGAATACCCAAATGAATGTTTGCACCTTCAAAAACCGGATCAAGTGTACTAAGGTCAAGCAGCCAATCAATGAATAACATGAAATACGGCCTGGGATTGAATTATGTCTTCTTCTCCTCTGCATCCTTTTGAATGAATCTCACAATCACTGCTAACACCTATTGCAAAACATGTCAAATAATATACTCTCAAAACT